GGGGGGGGGGGCTAACAAAATGCTTAACAAATGTTCTTCAAATGGTTGCAGAAAGGGGTCAGTTCAGGGAAGCTGAGGTTAAGGAGGTACCTCTTAGAGTGGGGGGCAAGCTTGCTGCAGACCAAGATGGACCCAGAGAGACAGGAGGAGTAGGGGGATCCCAACACTTGAATGGATAAATTTGTAAACTTTCTAAAAGAAGAAAAACATTTTCTTTTTTTTTTTTTTCTCCTTTCTGCAAGAAGAATGGAGGGAAGGGTCTCTCAAGCAGGGCAGGGCCAGGGGCCTCAGTGGAACCTGCCTGAGCTGGCAGCTATGCCTGGCTCTTCAGAGTGGTTGGGTGAAGGGATGACAGTCCCAGACCCCCAGGAGAGTCTACCTGATCACTACCACTGGCCGGGCCCTCCCTTCCTCTCCTCAGCATGGAGTTTCCAATTCCCAGACTTTGCTGGAGGGAACCAGGGACAAGGAAATTTTGCAAGCTCAATAGCCAAGGACATTGTTAATTTTTAATAAAGCCCTTCTAAAAAGTGTGTGTGTGTGTGTGTGTGTGTGTGTGTGTGCGCGCGCGCGTGCGCGCACCTGAAGTATGTGTGTGCTCAAATGTGCCTGAAGCAGATACTCATAGGTGGGCACAGGCTGGCCAGGCTGCTTGCATATAAATCTTTGCTGACAGGAGAAGAGAGGCAAGGGTTTTCTTCCTCATCCACGTCTCTAGGCCTGCCTTGCCCCTCCCCCCACCTCCCCCTTCCCAACCCGCGGGTAATGATTCTTCCCAGGTGACTGTGTGGCTGGCTTTGTCTGGAATCCTGCCCAGGAAAGATGCAGAAGTGACCCAGTTCTCAGACCAAGACAGGCTTCAGGCCTCTGCCCTGCAGAGGGCGGTCCGCAGGGGCGTGGTGTATCATAGGTGTGTACGGGGATTTGCAAGAGATCCAGGCAATCACACCCTCATTCTTCCTTAGCCTGGGTCTGTGCCTGTGATAGAAATTCAGTCTGGCCCTGCAGCTGCATCTCATTGCACCTGACTGAAATATTAAGGGGTTCTTAGGGGGAAAGAACCCCGTTCCCTTAGCAGCCCGCTTCCATGGAGCTGAGAAGGAACCGGGTCCCTCTCACTTTCCAAATGGTTGATTGGTGGGGGAGGGGCTTCAGGGCCTGGATGGCAACATCAAAAGAAGATGGCTAGTTGTGAAATTCCCCTTTCCAGCCTCCCCTGAACATTCCCTTTGACAGGTTATGGGAACCGGAAGCCTACCAGAATCTGGGGCAGGAAGCAAACTACAGGAAGATCCCTGGACATTGAGATGGAAATTCCAGTGCTACTTCCAAGACAAGAGGATCCAAGTCAGAGCCTTCTTCTCTTTGTCCTTGTGCAAAGTCCTGTCCCTCTTCACCCCCTTCACCACCCCTCCCTCTAAATTTTCTCTCCAAAGCCCTTGCTTTCTGCTCCTTGAGGTCCCAGCTCCCTTGCACTCTAGGCCCTGGAATCTCTCACAGGTTGCCCCACCCCCACCCCCTCCCCTCAATCTGTGTCTCTGGGAATTAAATCCAACTTTGAAGCCTTTGTGAATTAAAACTCCATAATGGTTGAGGTCAGAGGATGGTTTCCTAAAAAAAATGAAGGATCCTTGTCTTTCCAAATTGCATGCACCCCTTGAGTTATTAGCTTTTTTCTGTGGTCCTTTGTCCCTGAAGGTCAAGGGCTGGGGAGATTTTTGCAAATGGTGAGACCACAGAATGGGAAGGGACCTCTGACCATTGCTGCCATTTCCTCCATCACTCTCAGTCCTGCCTGAAACATGTGTTTAATGGATATAGGCGAATAAGAGGAGAAACTGTGGAAGTGCACCCTTCAGTCTATGTCTGAGTCATCAATCAGAAAGGAAAGGGATTGGAACTGGGAACTTCAGGCCTATAAATAAAAAAGATCTTTTTTTTTTTTTTTTTTTTGTACTGGGGATTGAACCCAAGGGTGCTTAACCACTTCCTCTGTTCACCACCCTTTTTGTATTTTATTTTGAGACAGGGTCTCACTAAATTGCTTAGGGCCTTGCTAAGTTGCTGAGGCTGGTTTTGAACTTGCCATCCTCCTGCCTCAACCTCCAGAGCTGCTGGGATTACAGGTATGTGCCATCCCAGCTAAAGGAAGATCTTTTAGAAATATTAGCTTAGTCTCAGTCACCTGCCTTTTCTGCAAAGCTACCTTGGACTGTGGGTACTGATTTGGTGGGCATGCCATTGCTGTCTAGAAAAAAATCCTCTGCTCTTGATAGAAGGCTTCAGAGAATGCAGGAAGCCTCTGGGTTTGCAGGTCTTGTAGGAAAGGGCCCAGGGTAAGATTTTGTGTCTACTAGGGAAGGGCCAGTATGACCAAAGAGTGCCCCCTAGTGAGCTGCATTCCCAGCTGCTTGGGTCAGCTCAGCTCAGCCCAGGGCTCCCCAGGTAGGCCTTGGGGTCTGGTTTTGGAAGTGGGGATGGGAAGGATTGGAGGAGGGAGAGATGAGATGTTTGGGATGGGACAAGATTTCATTGTGATACAGATGTCTCCCAGATCCCTCTAAAAAATGGACACTGGGTTCAGTTGTATTGTTTCTTAGTTTTCCTCCCATTTCAGCTTCTCCTGGGCTTTCACATGGTCCTGAAAGACACACCAGCTTTCATACAAACAATTCTATGTCAATTGACACTGGTAAAGTACTTTGCATTCACTCACCCATTCACCCTCTGTGCATCTAATTCTGTCCTGTATTTCACTCATTCATTTAACAAATACTTCCTGAGTCCCCACTCAGAACCAGCCTCTCTTCATCCTTGTAGGGCTCTCAATACAGGAGAGAAGTGCTCTGCAGAGTAGAGTCCCGCATTGAAGGAAGCCAGTAGGATTCAGGGAGGCAGTCATAGCAGGCATACAGGAGGAGGTGCTTCTCAAACAGGTCAACTTGGACTGTGAGGTGTCCCCTCCCCACCCCCCTCCCCACCCCACCCCCTCCCCTTCCCCCTCCCCCCTCCCCCCCAATCTGCAGAATGTGCACTAACAGTACAGACCCCCTGTCCCACTAAAACAGAAGTAGGAAGCATTGAGCCATTCCTCAGTGGCAACTGAACTTCAGCCACCCACATGGCCACCCACATGTCCCTCTCCAGGAGTCCCAGAACAGAGGGATTCCAAAGGACATAAGAAAATTGATATGTTTACTATCTTTTTTTTTTTTTATACTGGGAATTGAACCAAGGGGTGTTCTACCACTGACCTACATTCCCAGTCTTATTTATTTATTTATTATGGGGGAAGGGTACCAGGAATTTAACTTAGGGGCACCTGACCATGACCATGAGCCATGGTCCCCAGCCCTATTTTGTATTTTATTTAGAGACAGGGTCTCACTGAGTTGAGTCTCAGTTGTTGCTAAGGCTGGCTTTGAACTCCTGATCCTCTTGCCTCAGCCTCCTGAACCACTGGGATTATAGGCATGTGCCACGACACCTTGCCCTTTTTATTTTGAGATAGGATCTTGCTAAATTGCTGAGGCTGGCCTTGAACTTGAGATCAAGTTCAAGCCTCCCAAGTAGCTGGGATTACCAACAAGCCCCACTTTACCTGGACTCCATTTGCTTGGAGTTCTTTCTAGATGGCATTAATCTGTGCCTAGAGAGAACTCTATAAATCCCCTCTATAAATGTGGACCCATTGCTGTTCCATTGGGTCCATCTCTGTGTAGGTGGCCTCCCTTCTGCAGAGTTGGACAGTGGGTCACCTTTTTTGGTCCCCGCAAACAACTTGCATTTTGAGACCTCTCTTCATCTTGCTGTGGAGTCCCCTCAGTTCACTTCACTCTGGTCCCTTGTTTCCTGAATTCCTGTCCTCCTGTTTCTGGGTTATAGATCCCTAAGAATGAATCTATAGGAACAAATTAAAAACAAAACAACAACAACAACAAAAACAAACCTGTTCATGTGTCAGTGTCTTTATTCTACTCTTATACATTAGTATTCTTTTCTTTTCTAGAAAATTCCTCCTCTTTGTTTGGACCTATCTTTATTTTTTTTTTTTTTTTTTCATTATTTTTAATTTTCAAGAGCTGTTTCTGGTGCAGAGTTCCTTTTTCTAACATTGGCTTCTTGGTTCATGAATTAATCTCTTCTCTTATTCCCCCGGCAGTAGTAATTCTAATGAAAATTATATTCTTGTTCCAATCTCCACATTATCTCCATTTCCTTAGAGTTCCTTTTTTTTTTTTTTTCTGTTTGTTTTGGTCTCTGTTTCTCATAGTTACCGCCTTCCCAAAACGACTTTAATTCTTGGCTGTTGGGTCCTACTTAAGATTCAGGCATTTAGCAGCCAATGGAAGACCTGTGTGTGGGGCTGAGTTGGTCTTTTGGTGGGGCTCACAGGAAAAGGAGGGGATAAGGTTGTGGCCCTGATTAATACTGGTGACCTGCCCCCACCCCCCAAACAGCAGCATACATAGGTCATTGCCTTGGGCCAGTTTATTAGTGAAGGTGCCTCTTCTTGCTGGAAGCAGGGCTTCTAGGTTTTACAGCAGCAAGAGAAGAGATGCCCAAGGTGGTCGGGGTAATGAGCCACACCAGGACCCCACAGCTGGTCTCTCCAGAGGACAACTCTGAAGTTTGGCCAAAAACTGAGGTGCGGATCTTGCCTCTACATGGGGAGGGAGGGCATTTTGGAGAGTTCCAACCAGACTTCCTGTTTCCAACTGCACCCACCCCCACCTTCCTCGAGGTGCTGGGGCCTCCATTTCCTGAGATTGTCTGAGGCTGTGCTGAGCTGGCTTTACTTCTCTTTCTCTAAATATTCCGCGATGGGGAGAAAGTGAAAATCTCATCGATCTGTTTTTCCACCTTCTGGAATGTTGTTGACACCCTCTTCCCATCTCCACTCCTGATTTCTTTTGCTGACAGCTTGGACTTTTTGCTCAGGCTCTTTCCTCCTTGTAGCTTGGGGCGGAGCCAGGGTGAAGAGGCTCCACCCATCCAGCCTCCTCTTTCTCTTTTCCCACCGCAGTAGCTCATT